ACAACCAAGGGACCCTCGCAGAGGAGCCAAGACCAGCCAGCCAGCAGCCAAAAGCGACCAAAAGAAAAAGCAGGCCACCCCTGCCGCCCAGCAGCAAAATCAACGGAGGACCAAGGTGCCTCCAATTGTCCTTCGAGAGAGTTAAGCTATTCTGTCATTTATTTCCTTTGCTACTGCAAACTTAATCTTTACGTTTTTGAGTTTGTGTGTGTTTATTTGTGTTGTTCTCCTTGATCACTTCTTTAAATGTAGCCTTGGCGTAGACAACAATAGGATGTGATCAGATGGCACAGCTGCTCCTGGATAAGTTTTTAGGACGGATGTTTACAATTATAAAGTTGATCTGATTCCTTACTATATTTTGTTCGTTGTCAGCTGGAGATTTCCATGTATAGCTACAGGCGTCTAGGTGGCAGCTTAAAGAAAGCATTTGTTATTATGAATCCTATTTCTTTACAGAACTGTACCAGTGACAATCCCAGTCCATGTCCTCCAACCACATTATCATCCTTTTCATTCCCAACCTTGGCATTAAAGTCCCTAATAACTAGATTCACTTCTTCCTTTCGAGTGAGTTTTAGAGTCTGCCTGAAATAGTATAGAATTTGTCCAGCTCTTTGTTTGTTTGAGTGGTTTAAAAGTCCTAAAATGCACTTGTTGGCAAAATTAATTCCGCTTAAGTGAATACTTCCAAGCCGACGTTTTGTAGAGTAAGACTGGACAATCCAGACTCTGTTTTATCCCTGCCTATATAGACGACAAGAAACATTAAAGTATATCGATAAAACTGACATCACAAAATATAAGCAGTTCTAGACCCATACATCATGTTGCAACATTTGTACATCACCCAGGGGCGTTAATGAGGAAAGAAATTGATGAGACTTTTCCAGCAGGACGAATTTTTTTTATGGAGTAGGGTGTACTGTAGCTGTAAGAAAAACACTGGCTGCCGAGTGTGGGAACCCTTTTGGTTACAGTGGCCCATAAAAAATGTGCATTGCGGAAGAAAATGAATTTGCAACTAAACAGCTAATATATGTTCCGAGTTTGTCTTAAATAATAAAGCACCACAGTTATTAACCAAATTTATTTGCGGCTTTCGCGCACACAACTACTATTGAACTTCGAATCATTTAAGAAAGGCTGAAATAAGTTTGAGAAGAAATAAGCTTTGCACATTTTTCGAACAATTCCTGATAAACTTGGTAAAAACATTACATCATATTTTCGATTGTTATTCAAATTACGGTCAAAATAAGTCGTTATCATGATATTTTAGTAAATAAATATGTAAAAATCTGCATATTTCTGTAATCCAATTTAAACATATAATTTTTAACCTTCACAATTTGTTCTTTTTTGAATATGGAATAAGATAAAAAAAAAGGTAGCAGTAACGGAAACATAATTGGGATAGGCACTTAAAGCACTAATTATTTTCAATAAACAAGTAATTGGATGATTACATAGTATCAGTCCCATGCAATGTTTAAAACAATTATCCAGTATCCCAGCGTCGCGTTTAGGATTCGATAATAAGCAATTTGAATAGTATTTTGTATCATTAACTGAAAATTCTATTAACTATATTGATCAGCAAATAGCTAGAATAAATATATATAACGTTTAACATATAATAAATTAGAAATTCGTTTTTTCTCGTTGATGAAGCCATAGGTAAAAATTTGCAAATAGGATTTTTTATTTTGCTAAGGAGGCAAATAGATTTTGTTTAGTTTCACAACCATAAGCGGCCTACATCTTCAGTGGTAATTTGTCAAAAGCGGCTGTTCAAATAACATTTAAACAATGGATACAGTTATTGTCCAAGTTACGATTTAATGCTGAATTCGTGAAACCGTGAGCCCTTGTTACCGATTCCCGAGAAGGTCCAAATCAGTCGTGTCTGTGGGGCCACAATTGGGAATCTCAGACAGCCCGCTAAGCGGTACCACTGCTCGAATTGCATGGCAAGCGTGAAAGCCTTGATGTAATTGGTGATTGTTTTCGTTTCCAAGTAGTTCACTTAACAGAATGCACTATATACCTAATGTCTACTATAAAGGGCATTGTGAAATCAGAAGGGCAACCATTGACGATTGAGCAAACACACAACTCTGCTCGGCTACTCTTATCACTATTGAAAGTTTAAGTCCTTGAAGCGACCACCCAACACAGCTGAGCACAGAGCGTGGGAAATACCCTGTTTTCCTCAACCTGCACTTCTGATTTCCTCCGTACCTCAGTCGACAAAAGTGACCAGAGAAGACATTGTTTCGTTTCACCTCAAGTCGTACACATCGGGAGTCTTTCGCCTCAAAGCAGTACACATCGCAGACTCTGGAAGAGAAGTGTCTCAAAACCCAACCCGTAATTCTTCACCCTCAAATCAAATCAGTGGTCAAGTGCTGCCCAGGCCAATTAGAGAAAGTGGCAAAATAAAAGTGTCGCCCGTGCAAGTTAGGCAGGCACATACGAAATTGGCAGATTTTATTTACTCCTGCAACTGCTCTCAACGATACCCATCAAACACTGGTACCCCACTCACATTGGTCTTTCGAATAGCAGAAAATTCCCCCATATACTCGTGTCTAGAATTTTAAATTATTTATTCGAGTGAAACGAGTACATTTTGGTACCACGAACTGGATTTGACCAATCTCAGGAAAGTGCCAGCCCCAACATTTGGTCCTTCGAGCCGGATCACGTTAGTTTACACCTTGATCCCCCCAACAGTGGCAATGTAGGGATTTCTTAAGCCCAAGTCCTATTTATGTATGAATGTATGGTCATTCGTTGTTATTTTCGGGTTGTTACTCTTGATTTAAATTTGGGATAACGGGCTATGAAATAAAGTACTGATGGAAATGAGCCGACGCTGATCAAAAGATCATCGTTTTTAATCGTAAAAACGATTGAAACAGCAATAACATCAAATTGCAATTATGTCGATATTCTAAAGTGACTGCTTGTTAGAAAAGTTAATATTAGAATTCCGCCAACATTTTTGTGTCAAATAAGTACTTATATAAAAAAAGATAAGTTGTTAGAAGGATTGCCATTTGCTCTACTGAATTGAGCAAAATTACTTCGGATATTTTTCAAATGAGAACGTGAATTAAATTTAATTCAAGAAAAATATATCAAAAAGGTTTGAAATTTGCAAAGCCCAGCAATACAAAATTTACGGTTTACGAAAGGTGTGGTGATTAATTGCGAATGTAAAAGCTGAGGACACAAGCCAACACATGTAAGTAGAATACGCAATCAACGTGCGTTTAACGGATAATTAGTATTTCTAAGATTTTACTCTTTATAGATGGCTACTGTGTTAATATTGAGTACCATTTTACTGGTATTAATATCTACCCTGCTACCTAAATATTTCACTAGAAATTTCAACCACTGGATATCAAAGAATGTATTTTACATTAAACCTATACCAGTGCTCGGAAATATGCTGTCCGCCTTGACAATGAAGACAACGCTAGGAGAATGGTTGGATGACTTAAGCCATAAAATCAAAAAGGATTACTTTGAAATTTTCGTATTCGATCGACCAGTTTTGGTGGTTCAATCTCCAAAGCTTTACTAGCTGATACTTCAAAAAGACTTTGAATAATTTCAAAATAGATCAGTGGCCCATTACGAACACGATCCGATTTTGTCCAATTTTATGTTCATGGCCATGATCAAAAAGGGTACTGAGACATACTTCGGCTCAAGAGAAGACGATCCGACCTAAGTTTTTTTTAAAAGAAAAAATCTGGCTCCTCTACTTTGTTTGGCCTAAGTTCTTCTAAAAATTATGTTTTTTGAAATATCGGAAGAATCATACGACAAATTTTAATAAAACTCTTAAATTTATTCTTAGACGCCACTCAAATTTTGATGAAACAACCGATTTCGATCGCTTTGAGTAAGTAGTAAATTCTTAAGTGTCTTGGTACAAAAACTACCAGAACTTTTGATTTCGTAGCTGGAATCAACTGTTTTTTTTGCACTGATGCACTTCTTCGGCAATTTTTTGCTCTTTGTAAAATCTTTAATAGAACATTAATAGTTTTTGCTCAATTTTTTGTATTAATAAAACTTTAATTGAGGTTTATTGTAATATCGGAAGAGTGATGAGAGGAATTTTAATAAAACTTGCTGTGATTTTTTTCCTACGTGGAGGCCTTATTTTGATGAAGGCTTAGCGCTCAACGAAAATGCTTATTTCCGTTGCATTTCTAAGAAACGCAGCTCGTCAGTTAATTATTATAATATGATATTGCTAATTAGCAAGGAAACAGAATCTTTGTTGCGCCAAAACTGCGAATACGACAGAATTTTATATAGAGGTAACAAATACAAGCTGATTCCACCGACAAACTCAAAAGTTCTGGAAGTTTTGCACGAAGGCGCTCCACAATTCATCACTTGCCCAAAGCGGTTGAACTCAGTTTTTCATCAAAAACGATTGTTACAGAAGAGCCAATTCACGACGAGTATTATTAAAAAGGGCCTTTAAGGTCTACTCGCCGGATCCACTCCCCTCGCCCTCCACACTGCTGCTAAATACTACTATTTCATTAAAATCCATTGTACCATTCTCGCGATATTTCAAAAAACACAATAGTTTTGAAGAACTCTAAACATCAATAGCAGAGGAGCGATGTATTTTTGTTAAATAAAAGTTAGATCAGATCGTCTTCTTTTGAGGCAAATGATGTTACAATACTTTTTTAATCATGTGCTTACGGGCAGGTGAATATTAATATATATTTTATTGTATTTAATAAAATTAACACAAACACCAACATGAAACATTTACGTATGCTGATTATCTCAGAACAATTGGAAACGTTCTACAACGTTCTAACCTTTGTACTGCTGATGCCGTCAATTATTATGATAGCAGAGATTGCGAATTTCAAATATTACTTTAATTGGATAAGTTTAATTTACAACGAAAAAGCTGATTTTCAGATGTAACTTTGACGTTGCAATATGTTTAGTAGTGGTGTTCCAAGGAGAGAAATGCGGACAATCCTGCTTTCCAAGTAGGTACATTATCGAAAAGTACTGAAACTCCAATTAAGACTACTTCCCAGTTATAACATCAAAATCCCTTAGCTATTCACGATCATTATACAATACTTACAGTAATATTAACTGAAGTAAATTACCAAACTTAATTTATACGTAGGTTAGACAAATTGCTGCCCCCATTATATAGTATTAATTGATTTAAATTAATCGTACATCCGCAAACTCCATATATTTTCTACTAAAATGTAATTAAAATAATTGATCGTGATTGGTTATGTACACTCAATAGCTCATTTCAGGTTTGTACTTAATTCAAAGAATCATAGCTTACATTACTTTTAAGTATACTTTGACCTCATATCTTTAGCAAATATGTTTTTCTGTTATATGAAATATCTACTCCCGAGCTCAAAGGGCAGGATTTGATTGATATATTTATCGAAGAGAGTAAAAGCAAAAATGTCCATTTTGATAAGTGCATTAAATGAAAAATTCATAATATAAAACATCTACACACAAAGAAAGCGTTGAAATAATCAAACTTACTAACGCCAATTGATTGCAGCAATTATGGTAAAACTTGAACTAAAAATTGGACAGTTTTGCATATAGTAAAATTAACTTATTATGGTTAACTTGCAATTATTAGCTGTAAACTACGTGGATAAATATTGTGCCTAAAATAAGTATTACAGCATCCTGATTATGCTAAATTTATATATTTTCAGATCAGAATGTAATGATGGCACAAGCCTTACAGTTCTTTGCAGCAGAATTTGAAACAGTCAGTAAAACTTTGAGTTTTACACTGTATGAAGTTTGCGTCAACCTACATTTACAGGACCGACTTAGAACTGAAATATTTGATAACTTTAAGAAGCATGATGGAATTACCTGCAAAGGTGTGTCTGAAATGAAATTTTTAGATATGTGTATTGCAGGTGAGACGAAATTTTGATATTTATATACATATATTTATTAAATAAAACAAACACACGTTTATAACAAACTGATGCGTATCGAATACCTTTAAGAACACAATACAATTCTGAATTCACTGAATTAAAGGAAGAAGTTACAAGTGTGATTGAGGTCTCAATTAATTGTGTATTCTGCTTGCGTATGTGTATATGAACTAAATATATGCTATCATAACTCAATTTCGCCCAACTTCAATCTATAATTCGATGCGATGAACCTGTTGAGAAACCCAACAAATGCAAAATTTCTAATCTTTATATAGCTTTTCATAATGCCAAATGCAGTACTTGCATTATACAAAATAGTTGCTAGTGTTGAAAAATTGTGAGTTAGATATGCATTAAAAATTGTTTTTGATTCCAGAAACTCTGAGAAAATATTCAGTACTTCCATTTCTGGATAGAACTTGCTTGCGTGATTATAAAGTAGAAAATTCAGATCTCGTCATCGAGAAAGGTTTGGATGTTTACATTCAATTGTTTGCATTAAATTACAATCCTGAGTTTTTTACCCAACCTGAGAAATACGATCCGCAGAAATTTGCGAACAAATCCAAAATCAATAACGAAGGACTATATTATGTTCCTTTTGGTGATGGGCCTAGAATATTTATTGGTAAGTGAAATCATACTAATATATGTATATAATTTAAGGCTTTCTGAAGATCTTTAGATTAAACTAATCAGAATAATTCTCACAGGCAATAGGTTTGAGTTGTTAGCTGTAAAAATTGGTTTGGTAAGTTTATTATCTAAATATAAGCTGGAAGCAACATCTCAAACTCCAAGGCCAATAAAATTCGAACCGAAAGCCCTGATTCTACAATCTAATGTGGGCGTACCTTTGAAATTTGTACCAATTTGATTTATTAAATATAGTAACATTTGAAGGTTAAAATGTATTTACTAGTTGTACCCTTCAAAAAGATCCTTAATGTATGGAGTAATGCATTAAATAAATACCAATATTTAAAATTAGTGTTTCCAATTGGTTTATTCCAAACCCATTGGAATGCGTTACGGCGTCGTTGTCTGGCATTGATACAGACAAGTACGCAGTTCCCTCTCGCACGCATGCAGCCGCCCGCGAACTTTAGGCCATAGATAACTTTAGGCGCTATTAAAGCCGGTGCTACCCGAATTTGGCCGGTCGTCTGATTATAATAGTGTGTAGTCTAGGGGCTGTTCTTGTGTATATAACAGTGTGTAGTCTGTGGGCCGCTGTGCTTTGGTGTTGCGTTTCAGTCTGACCTACTTTAGTAAGAAATCATGCCAAAGGAGAAAATGATTTAATTACATTTATACTGGAGCTCGTCCCCCAGATTCGAAGTTATTCGGACGAACCATTGTGATGTGCGTACTATCCGAAACAAATGGAATTTATTCGCAGATTCGCAGTGTTTCTAACTGAATAACGAATATTTTTGGGGTACACCGAACTGAAATGGATGTTGAACAACTAACAAGCAACTTTCCTAAATCTTCATATAAAGGATGGCATTCTCCAAATTATTTTTGTCATGCTACTGTATCAGCAACCCAATTTTTTTTGATTTTTAACTGTAATCGCCTTCTCACAAGACAACTATTTTCCAAAAGTAAATCATCCTAACTATTAACAGTTGTATAATTACGCTGATTATTATATAATGACGCTGTATAAATGTGCTTGTTAGATACATAACAACACATGACCAATTCGTATATACAGGGTTGCTCATTAGTGCGTCAAAGTGCGATATCTCAGTAAATATGAACTTTACAAGAAAATACGTCCTACGAAAGTTTTTCATGTTTAAAAGGTCCACATTTTAAAATTACTTTCCAATATACGGGGTGTATCATAAACGTGTGGTAGTTACCAACTTTGGATTTTTAAATGGAACTGCCCCTTTTTTCATTCATTTTCAGATTTGTCGTCAAAATTTAAGTTAAGTTTGTCTCCAACGTTTTACCTGAAAAATTTACGATTTCCGAGTTATTCGTAAAAATGTGAAAGTTTTGACAGCTACTGGGTTCCACAGAAATCGATGCTGTACACTACCCGCTGCGAATTTTGGAAAACAGTTTTCAGCGATTCTAACAGAACATCATGATCTACGCGTAGATATGTTT